AATCTTTCTATTCCATATTGTGTTTAGTTTCAAAAGTGCGCTTGTAGCGATTGCTAACCATCTCTGTTTCGGATCTTCATAATGATGTACCAAGCATTTTGAACATAGGCGTAGATCCCGGGAGGAGGGGATGGAGGGGATATATCCCCCCCCCATATTTGACAAGGGGGATGGTCCATTGTATCATCCCCCCAATATTTTGACTATGTATGGGATAAAATGGAGCTTTACACACTTCAAAAGACTGTCACAGAAATAATTTGTACTGTTTTATGCGCTTACAAAGATAAAAATTCGCATAATGTATTAATGTTGATAACAAAATTATTTTATTTGGTACCAACCTAAGCTCATCGTTACTTAGATGTTAGATGTGCTTGCAAAGAGAGCCACATTTCACACTGAAGGGTGTGTACGATATCAGTAATGTTATGTCAATTCCAAGAATGTTTAAGGTTATATCGGTTAATGAGGAATTTATTGATTAGGCCTATAATAGCAAATTGCATCAATTTATTTTGCAGAAACAAGGTTTACAGCTTCAGTGGGGGGAACATACCCTGTCCGCACAAGGGCACACATTGGCGCTAACACCAGGCGCGTAACAGGGGTCTTTGGTCAGAGTGGGTATTTGTTTTTTAATTTTTTTAATTTTTTATTTCAACCATCTTTAAAGAGGGTAACCCTTCTAGTTTAGTCCAGTAGGTTAACTGATATTCAGAGGCCATCTTTAATAAAATTAAATAACAGTACAAACAACATCATTACAACATAATAATAATAATAATAACAACAACAACAGCAGCAGCAACAGCAGCAGCAGCAGCAGCAGTAGCAGCAACAACAACAACAACAACAACAATCCTCATTTCCCAGTTAGTAATTTACCATACCCACCCCACGCCACTCCCCATCCCACCCCACCCCACCCCCCATATAGAAAACAATACGACGGACTTATCTTATTTATAATATATAGGCCACACACGTGTGTTTGAAACTAAATATAAGCATTTTCATTATGGTTTTATTGATTACAAACATATTCTTTCACCATCTATACACATTGAGGCCCTTCTTTTAGGTTAAAATGATCTATCTTGAATTTTTTTCTTCCTTGAGTTTGGGACTATTATTGTTTTTTAATAACTTAAAAGGATAAAACTAAAAAAGCCCTAAAAAATGCGCAAAATATTTTTGTGTTTTTAATTCTAATTTCGTCGGAATTAATGAAAACTCCCTAAAATGTGCAATATATAGAGGAAATTGGTCTACCGTAACAAGAAATGCACGCAAAGAATTTGAGAATTTTAGGCACTTTCAGGGGATGCATTTGTCAATGGGTGGGGAAAGGTTTTCCAAAAATGAATATTTTCCCCTTGTCCCCTGGTGTTTTTAATTCTAATTTCGTTGGAATTGATCAAAACTCCCTAAAATGTGTAATTTTTAGAGGGAATTAGGCAATGTTAACAAGCAATGCGCGCGAAATTTGAGGTTTTTAGGCATTTTCAGGGGATGAAAGGGCATTCATAAAGGGGTGGGGAAGATTTTTCAAAGATAGATATTTTCCCCTTGTCCCCCAGTGGTTACGCAATCTGGCAGCATAGATCAAAGGAGTTATGACAGTTTTTGAAGTGGAGAAGGGGTTGCAGGGTGTTGTGAGTCTGGTCATTATGATATCTTCCTCTTTATTCTTGTCTTTATTTTTCTCTTCTTTTTTTCTTTCCTTTTATTTTCCTCTTCTTTCTCTTTCCCTCCCTCTTCCCTCTTTCTTTTCTTAGTTTTAAAAATGCACTTGTAGCGATTGCTTTGTTTCGGATCTTCATAATGATGTACCAAGCATTTGAAGGCATTGGCCTTATTCATCAAGCTTCTTGCCTTGCACTTTTATGCTCGTGGAAAGCCTATCTTCAGAAACTTTATTTTGGCGCCTATGTTTGTCTTATTTTGTCATAACTTTGCTTTTATCAGTACGGATAGCCACAGATGGCCTTATCCAATCTTCTTGTCAAATCGGCCTCATGTGAATTGTGGATAATGAAAAAAGTGAATCGTTGATTATGAAAAGTGAACTGTCAATGATGAAAAAAAGTGAATCGTCGATGATAAAAAGTGAATTGTCGATAATAAAAAAAGTGAATCATCGATGAAAAAAATGTGAATCGTCGATGATTAAAAAAGTGAATCGTCGAAGATGAAACTTAAACAAGTGAATCGTCGACGATGAACAAAGTGATTCGTCGATGATGAAACAATGAATCGTCAATGATGAAACAATGAATCGTCGACGATGAACTTAACAAGTGAATCGTCGATGATGAAACAAATGAATCGTCGACGATGATAAAAACCAGTGAATCGTCGACGATGAACTAGTGAATCGTCGATGATGAAACAAATGAATCGTCGACGATGATAAAAACCAGTGAATCGTCGACGATGAACTTAACAAGTGAATCGTCGATGATGAAACAGTGAATCGTCGATGATGAAACAAGTGAATCGTCGATGAATCACTGATTCTAATTAAAGAGTTGCATTTTTTCGCGCAAGCAGCAAGGTCTGACCATGATCTGCTGATGACATGACAGGCCTAGGCATAGGGCCACGAACTAGCCTTGGCCTAGTGACGTTAAAACGGAATCACTCATGCGTGACAGTCTTATTTGGCCGTCCTACGTAGATTTGGCCTAGAGTTCCTATATAGAGAACTCTAATTTGGCCAAATTGCATTCCAGAATCTATATACTCGACGAGGTGACCTTAACGTTCTCGCATGCGCAGATTACTGTTAGTGACGTCATTACGTTCTACGTCCTGCCGTCGTCGTGCAATCGAAAGTTCCCTATTTTAATCTACGTCAGTGTGACCAGTGATGCGAACCAAATTGGGATATTATGCTAAATTACTCCAAATTGTAAAATTTGTTTAAGCTCCCCCCACCCATCCCACCGCCTAATGAAAGCAATACTGTCATATAGCCGTCGGAAGCGGGGGAGGGGGTAGGGTACTATACAAGTTCCCGCTACCCCTATCTACAGACATATATACAGGATCTTAAAATTAAAATTAGTATGATCTGAGAGCATCCACTCCAGACCCACGATGGTTGTTGAACAACATTTTCGCAACTCTGAATGCCCAGAAATAGATGCTGACAACTTGTAGGGCCGCTAGCCCCTCTACTCCAGGGGTAGCCATAAGAAATAAAGTTAGCATGGAGATAGGGCCTAGGTTCCAAATAAGGTACCTCTGGATGCCTGGAAATAGAAGCCACCACCCATTCCCATCTGGACACAGAATGTGCTAGCATAGACCAATTAGAATTCGGAGGACGATTTTAAATCTTGGAAATAAGACAAATGTTATTAGGTCTACTGCGAATATGATATATTGTTCAAAAATTAATTAAGTTGACTATTTCTCCATCAATAAATGAATTGCAAGAAACACGAATAAGATGTGTATAAGAGACAGACCCACCCCACCCCACCCCCATATAGAAAACAATACGACATAGGGCTTATCTTATTTATAATATAGGCCACACACGTGTGTTTGAAACTAAATATAAGCATTTTCATCATGGTTGTATTTATTACAAACA